GCCCATGGGGCCTCTTAGGGCAGTTCCTCTTGAGGTGGCCTGGCTTTTAACAGTGGTAGCAGATGAATGCAGTTGTTGAGTTCTTCTTGGAGCCCCGGGAATCAGACCTGGGATCTGTTTCTCTTTGCAGCTGTTTCTCTTTGCAGCTGCTTTTTCTCAGTCTCTTTGTTTTCTCTCCTTCTCAAGGATGTTTTATTGAGCAAAGCCGCAAGGTGAGGCAGGTTTAAGGTGGGACAGAACTGTAGTCAACGAATAAGAGTCCTAGTATAGTCGCTTAGGTAATATTGATTAGATGGGGATCAAATGAGGAAGCAAGTTGCTTAGCAAACATCCATGGAATGAAACAAGGACTTTCCAGGAAGGAATGGGCTAGGGAGGTCTTGATCACCCAAGGGGACTGATGCCTAGAGTATCATCAGGGTTGTTAATCCCTAGAGAAAGTATGTGGGTGTAGACATTCCTCTTTGTCCTGAGGCCTAGCCTGCAGAAGGCATCTCCACCATGGTGTCTTCTGCTCTGAGCTATGGAGGGCCCAGCCCTATCTGACTGCGTATAATCTTTTTAAATAATTAGCTACCTATAATAAGTCTATGACCAGAAGCAAAGCTCAGGGCTCAGTCAGTATGGAGAATCCTGACCTAGTCACCTCTTTCTCCAAGGAGGGACTGTGGGTAGAGTTGCTCTTGGTTACTGAGGAGCACCTTCCAGTCCTCAGGAAGCCTAAACCCTCTTAGCACCTGTCCCCAGCCTTTCCTCCTGTCCCTTGCCACTGCCAGGTCACTCCCTGAGGTCACCTCAGTGTGTCTGGAGGCGGAAGGGAGCAGGGTGGGGCAGAGGCTGAGGGCAAGGCTGTGTCCAGCCCCAGGGGGTGCCTTGCGCAAGGCTTTCTGATGCAACTTGATGGACACTGTGGGAGCTCTTCTCAGAAAGGGGAGGGCTGGGCAGAGGCCTGGACTGAACTCACATAATCCTTTCCTGCCCTGGCCTGCGGTGGCCTCAGGACCAGCAAGAGGCAGGAGGCCAACCGGAAGGAAGGTAGAGCAGGGGTCAAATGACTCAGCAACAACTCCAGTCTTGGGAGCCGCTGGATCTGAGACTCCCTCCTTCTCCCAGCTGGAAGGGAAGGAAGAGAAGTGGGATCCCTGGAGGTTTGGTGATCCCCTAACCTCCCTGCCCCCAGGCAAACACACATACAAAGCAGTAATTATGTGGCTGAGCCCCAGAGGGACAGGTCACGCAAGGGACAAGGTCTGACCCAGAAGCAGCCTTTGAACTCCTCCTACCACGTGGAAGAGGGGACCCCCACCCTGGAGGAGGGTGTGAGGTTCCCCCAGTGCACCCCCAAGTCTCCGTGGGGCTCCTGAAATAGTGGGTCAACGTGGGCCTGGGAGCCACACAGACCGGGCTTGCTGTGTGAGCATGGGCAAGCTACATCCCTTTCTGACCCTCGATTTGTTTGCCTGTAACCTGGGCAGAAATCTGTCCACAGCTCGTAGGCTGTGCTGAGGATCAGGTGCGAACGCGGAAGTGCCAGGCTAACCCTTTGGGGCCACCTGTCAGCGGTGGCCTGAGGGCTGTGTGCGCTTAAATCGGCTGCCATCAAACGGCCTCCTGTGTCCTGGAAGAGCAGGCGGCATAGGCAGTACACAAGAGGCCACAGGGACTTGAGCCATAGGGCCTTGCTCTGAGCAGCACCAGTCCCCCCGTCCCCCTTGGCCACTGATGGGGCTTCTGTGAGCCTTAGTTTCTTCATCTGTCTCCAGAGATGGACAGGCGACTCCTGGGGAGGTGGGAGGATTAGGTGAGGTGATGTAAGGGATGACCTAAGGGAAGCCCCATGGTCACACATGGGTCCTAGCACTTCAGCCCTCCGGAGGAATCCCAGGCTGCCTCTGCCTCCCTGGTGCTCCGGGCCCAGGCTGCACCACCAGCCCGGGGCACCAGGGATTCCTGTGAAGCCGCTGGCTGGCTCCAGAGCAGGGCTCCCTGAGAGGAGCACCGGCTGCGCTGCAACTCCTGAATGAACCAGTCTCCTTCCTGCAACCCAGCCCCATCAGCCTTTGCTCTGCTTGTATTATTAGCCCCATGTTTGCCCTTCAAACTGGCTCACTTAAGAAAAAAAAAAACTTAACAAAACAAATAAACAAAAAAACAAACTTAGATACAGTTATTTAAAAGGGAAATTTCAAACCATTAACCTCAAATGGAAAACTACCATTTACCATAAAGAGGTAACCATAAGATTAAACACAAGGAAGCAAAACAAAATAAGATTATGCAACCCTCCCCAAGTCCTGTTTCCAGGTGAAGGCTCAGAGTGAAGTCTGATCTCACCTCCTCAGCAGGGAGGTGCTCAAAGCCTAGAAGCAGGTTAGGTCAATGAGACTTTCTCCCCAAGCCACTGGAGGAGGAGGAAGAAAATCAAAAGGGGATCTGCACACCAGGACATGGTTCAGTGTTCTGCCATACAGGGTCCCAGGACCCTCGGTCCTTTTGGAACCCCACCACTACTGGACATAGTACATTTTGGAAAACACTAAGCTAATCCAACACCTCCTCTTTTTTTTCCCCTCCAGTTCTGAGGATTGAATTTAAAGATAAACAAGCTGGCCACTGTGGTGCACACATGTAATCCCAGCTATGTGGGAGGTTGAGGCAGGAGAATAGCAAGTCCCAGGTCAGCCTGGGCAATTTAAAATTACTCTGTTTCAAAATAAAAAATAGAAAGGAGCAGATGTGGAGGTGCACACCCGTCACCCCTGCACTTGGGAGCTTGAGAGGGCTCGAGTTACATCTAATAGCAAGTTCAAGGCCAACCTACTGTATAGAGATACTCTGTAAATAAAGAAATAAATAAATAGGGCTGGGAATGCAGCTTGGTAGGAGAGCGTCCTGGGGTTTGATCCCCAGCCGCCCCTGCCCCCAAAGATTAGAGTGAAGTAGGAATTCAGCTAGGTCACCCAGGCAGCACACGGTTAGGGCAGGTGACAGAGCGACTCTCCAGGGAGTGCGCATGTGGAAGCTGTTGTGTTGTCAGGATTGTGAGCTGTCCAGGACCTTGTGGGTGCTGGCATCAGCTGGCCCAGGTTCAAATCTCAAATCTGCCAAGCTGGGTGGTTTTAGGTGGCACCTTCATTGTGGCATCTCAAGTCTGTAGAAAGGAGATGAGAGTGCCGACTCACCTTCCCTTCAGGGCCCCACATTCCTGCCACAGGGCCTTTGCACTTACCTGTTTTCTCTGCCTCCCTCTCACATTGTTGCATACTCAACCCTTCTTTTTTGTTCAACACCTTTTTTCTCAAAACCTTGAACATCTGACTGCGTATAATCTTTTTAAATAATTAGCTACCTATAATAAGTCTATGACCAGAAGCAAAGCTCAGGGCTCAGTCAGTATGGAG